TGGGTCCAAATACACTTTGTCAGGCTTTGTTTGGGCCTTTAAGGTAAGAATTTCTATATAATGTTTCTAAAATTATAATTAATTATTTAACAATTACTAATTTTGTTATTATATTGTTTGTAGATTTGGATATTCGAGGCTTTCCCCAGCATGCGTACATATGCAATAAAAACGTCAAATGATATTCCCAGGGCTATTTCCTGGAAGAGGAAAGCTCTGTTGGATTGGGAAGACTTAATACCATATGCGACAATAAATAATGTAAGTTAACACAAATACTTTCATATAATATATAAACAAGTTATTAATAGTAGACGTTTAACTTTGTTTGAGTTTTTATATTTTAGGAGGCCAACATTCCATTACAAAGACTGACACCCACGGAGGAAGAGCTTGCCACTGATTGGTGGCAAGCTAGTCAGAGTTTTTTTGATGGCACGGATGATGAGCAGCATCCACTTCCTCCAATTCGAGAGCCATCACCTCACCTAGAGCCATCACCCGATCGACCCGACTATACACCTCTAGAACGAGAGCCATCACCTATCCCGTCACATCATCGAGCCTCTTCTCCACCATCACCTCATGATAGGCGACCGGCAAAGATGCCACGACTCCTATCTCCCTGTTCTCCACCTCCACCTCCACGGGATGAGTCAAGGGAGTTACGTGATGAGGTCAATGCCTTGCGTGAGGAGATCGGTACTCTACGCGATAACGATGGTGCATGGCGTGTGGATGTGTCAACTTTACGTGGTGAGGTTGCCGCTCTACGTGAGATGATAGTATCGTTGCAGAATGAGGTTCATACTCTACGCAACGAGGTAAGTTTAAGATTTTCCATATTTAACTTAATGATAAATTTACTCGTAATTTCACTTAGATTAGCCATTTCACTTAGATTGCTTAGTAAATTTGTTCGGTTGCTGCCAATTCTGCTAAACTGTGTATTCTTTAACACTGTGAAATAGTATTTGTCTTTGTTTTGTCTTTTGGTTGAAAGTAAATTTGTTCGGTTGCTGCCAATTCTGCTAAACTGTGTATTCTTTAACACTGTGAAATAGTATTTGTCTTTGTTTTGTCTTTTGGTTGAAAGTAAATTTGTTCGGTTGCTGCCAATTCTGCTAAACTGTGTATTCTTTAACACTGTGAAATAGTATTTGTCTTTGTTTTGTCTTTTGGTTGAAAGTAAATTTGTTCGGTTGCTGCCAATTCTGCTAAACTGTGTATTCTTTAACACTGTGAAATAGTATTTGTCTTTGTTTTGTCTTTTGGTTGAAAGTAAATTTGTTCGGTTGCTGCCAATTCTGCTAAACTGTGTATTCTTTAACACTGTGAAATAGTATTTGTCTTTGTTTTGTCTTTTGGTTGAAAGTAAATTTGTTCGGTTGCGATTCTTTCGTTGCGATTTTGGTTTCGCGTTGCGATTCTGTCGTTGCGATTTTCATTTCGCGTTGCGATTTTGGTTTCGCGTTGCGATTTTAAGTTTCGTGTTGCGAAAGTAAACTATTTCTTCTTCTGCAAATTGAAACTTGAATGGATTGCATTACTTCAACCAATAGACAAAACAAAGACAAATACTAACTTCAGGGTATTAGTTTGAAACATATTTTTCTTTGTTATCTGATGCATTTTGTGAACTATGATAGAATAATGACTTGGGTGAATACAATGCAAGTTTGAAACATATTTGTCTTTGTTTTCATTGTTTAAATATCATGTCTGTTTATTTACTGATTTTTGTATTTAATTATTTAGCGGCCCGATAGAGTGGATGCTTTACGTCGGGTTATGCTTGCACGACGGAGTTCACGCATCAGACAGCGTGCACGTGCTATTAAGTCTCCGTACACCCCAATAGTGCGAAGACACCGCAAGAAGAAGCCCGACTCGCCTGTCATCCCTCAAGAGTCCACTCCTATCGTTGAAGAGGCCCCCCCTATCATTCCTCGAGAGTCCCCTCCCACCGATCAAGAGGCCACTGTCATCATTGAAGAGGTCCCTCCCACCATTCAAGAGCCCGATTCACATGGCGTCATATGTAGGCTTCTTGAGAAACCCTCTGACGTGCCGGACATGATGGATTCAAGTTGGCTCTCGTATGAGTTACCGGCCAGTACCATACCGGTATCTGAAGAGGAGAGGGAACAACTACCGGACACAATTCTGGATAACACCTTTTGGGCTAAGACCGCTGTTGATTTTTATCTACATGAGCGGAGCCAGGGGTGTTTCACTGACATATGCAAGCTCACCGATGATATCTATTTGTTGCTTGATCGGTCTTGGTGGGGCGTATTATTAGGGGTCGAAGACAATGGCTATTTCGATGGGGGGGTAAGTCTTATATTTTTCTTATATTTCAATTTGATTAATTTTTTTTTAAATTTATGTAAGTCACTAATATATGTCTTTTTTTGTAAAACAGCATATCGATGCGTGGGTGACACGTCTTCTAATAATAAGAAAACTTAAGAAAAATAAAAATATACGATATACAATTATGCCGACGTCTTTTCACGCCGTTCACTTGAAGAATGCACGAGATGAATCATTTGATTTGGGCAATGGACAAGCTAAACTTTATCCTGCATAGTGGGAGGTCGATAAGGTTAGTATTTATTTTAGATTGAGTTTAAAGGTTTTATGAAATAAGTGCGCAAATGAATGAATTATTACTTATGATTGCAGGTGTTTATCCCTGTTTTGGAACGTAAACATTGGATTCTCGTCGAGCTTCAGCTCCCATCCCTTAAGACAATAGTGTATGACAACATGATAAATTACATATCATTGGCTGATTTAAGAGATGTTATTAAGGGATGGAGCTCTCATTTGGCTAAATTCTTGGATGCGATCAATTATTGGACTCGTTCTGGAAACAAGATTGTGCTCGTTGAGACGCCGCGCCACGAGCGGAGCCAGAGCCTCTCGTATGCTTGGCGTTGGAGCGTTTGATCTATCCTCCCACCGATAGAGATAGAGCTGCAGTAGGCTTGTGGTTTCGGCATTATATGGCTAAATCGATATATACGAGACGCTGCCTACCTGCATCCGCGTTATAAAAATGTCCATAAACAATTGGTAAGTTTATATACTTTTGGTTTGAAAATGTTTGGTTAAGTACCTAGAATTCAATAGTTTAATTGATTGTTTTTTGATTGTTTGAGCAAATGTTTGGTTTCTGCAGGTTAATCTCAGAAGTGAACTGCGTGAAAATGATGTATGGCTGCAAATGTCCACGTACAGTTTTTGTCAATCATACACCTTGTTTCGAAACGATCTTTGCTTGATTTGTTAACTTTTAGTTGATAGCCATCTTCCACACATTTCGTATACAAAGCTATCTTCAAGTCTTCCTTTGTATCAAAACAATCATCTTTCTTGATACGAATAACTTTTGTGTAACAATCAACTGCTTTCTTTATCAACTCTTCTTCCGGTATCTGAAGTAATTCTGGCATATTCCAGTTATACGCCCGTGGCATTTTCTTTTCTTCGGGGACTTTTTCTTCTTCTTTTTCTTCTTCAGGATTATATGAATTACAGAATGGATGTTCAACATGTTCATTCACAGTCGTAACTTCCTCCTCATTATCATCATCAATACATTCTTCGGCAACGGCTGTTTCATCATCAAAATTCGGGTATTGACCAATATCAAAATCATTACACGCAGGGTCTGTTTCTTCTTCTGAAACATCATCAAAATCCGTGTATTGACCAATATCAAAGTCCGGATATTGACCAAGACCAAATTTCGAATACTGACTAGTACTCACAATTTTTTCTGTTGGCTCATCATCGTCTAACTGGTCAATACGAAAACCGGAATTTGGTGCTGAAAGTTGATTGGGATTTGGATTAGAGAAAGGTTGTGGGTTTTGAGAAAAACTTAGTTGATTACTACCCGCTACTGACCCAACAATACTACTTCTAGGTTCAACAACATACAATGTAACATCATCTTGTGAAACACTAATGTAAGCAATGAATCGTTCAACATCTTCATTGTCGGTTAACAAATAAACTTTACCATTTCTCTGATAAGATAGCCTAAATCCACTTAGGGGCTCTAAATTCAATTTATTTGAAACACGTAGCATTAGAGTTTCATAAGTTAACTTTTGTAAAGACAATTTTAGTTGAAGATTCATGGGTAAAGGCATATATTGTAAAACACCATTAACATTATCCCATGACCCTCCAAAACACAAATCTATCCAAACATGATCAACATTAGATGATTTCATGGTTGTAAATTAATTTACTAAACAGACGAGCTGCGAAACTAAAACCTGTTGCCGGATTGGGAAGGATGTCGTTGGATATAGGAACGGATGTCGCCGGAGAGAGTGATAGATGGAGATGGAATGAGTTGCGATTTAGAGATTTAGTTTATGATTTCAGTGTTATATACCCAAAATTTCAGTGTTGTGATTTACAGACATATGCCCTACCGGATTTACAGATTCTCGTTGCGATTTACGGATTATCGTTGCGATTTACGGATTATCGTTGCGATTTACAGATTCTCGTTGCGATTTACGGATTATCGTTGCGATTTACGGATACGCGTTGCGATATACGGATACGCATTGCGATTTACCCATACGCGTTGCGATTTACGGATACACGTTGCGATTTACGGATACGCGTTGCGATTTATGTGTTCGCGTTGCGATTTTCATATTCGCGATTTTGGAAAATCGCAATGCGAATTTGTACTATCGCATTGCGATTTTCAAGAATCGCGTTGCGATTTTGGAAACTGATTTGCGATTCTGGGGATCGCGTTGCGATTTTTATTTCGCGTTGCGATTTTATTGGTCATTTTGGCAAATCCAAAAAAAGTTGGTTAAAATCGTATATTATAACTTTTTTTTGGTCACTGAGGCGATTTTCTCTAATTGCAGATATCAAATTAAAAAGAAAATAATCAAACTACACCATATAAAAACACGTACGGTCTCCCCTGACCTTCCTTTTTCTCTATAGTCATGGCTTCTTCATCCACGCAAAAATTTGACACCCTACTTTCCACAACCAACTATACTTCTTCCCGGAGAACGCCTTCGATCTCTTCTTCTTCTTCTTCTTCGTCTTCGTCTTCATCAGCAACACTGTCATCTTCACTTGGATCCTCGCATTTTCAAGATGATTCTCCTCTCAGTCCAGCGGCTCCAGTTCGGTTTTCAGGCGTACCGTTTTCTTGGGAACGTTTACCTGGTATCCCCAAGAAGCTTCAAAACCACAAGAAGAACGAATCCATCAAGTTGCTTCCATTGCCACCTCCGGCTACTCCACCAACCTCCAGGAAGAACATATTGGGAAATTTGTTATCCCGGAAGAAAACTTCCACCGCCGCCGCTGCTGCTGAGAGTTTCCGAAAGGACCCATTTTTCTCGGCATTGGTTGAATGTTCCAAGGATGACGACAACGACAATGACGAGGATGATAGCAAACTGTGGAGAGCAGCAGGGGCTAAGGTTACAAGGAGTATCAGTGAGAGGTTCGGGTTCATTAACCTTTATTGTAAAAGTTGTTCAGTTTCAGAATCAATAGTCTATCTCCCGAGGGCAAGTAGCAGAACAGCTAATTATGGCCTAATTAATCGTCGTTCCCGTTAAATGCAACACCCATTTGTTATCAGTCACTTACTGGGATTACTTAATCATGGTGCTGAAAAAACAAAAAAGATAGCTTACATTTGTTTTTTGTTTTTGTCTTTTGTATGCAATATGAGGAGAATGATCGATGATGATGTGTTCAAGGCTGAAACTCATCTGTAATGTTGCATGTGATGTTTAATGAGAATATGAGTGAAGATTACATTACTCCATGTGGGAGTAATATATTGGACCACCCCTGATCCATCTTAATTTTTCGTAAAGTTAAGCGGTGATTCTGTATCTATCACCTTCTTTATTATTATCCATTTGTTCTCTGCTACCTGCACAGTTGCATATAGTTTACTCTACTATTAATACTATAAATGTACACTCATTATCTTTCTTGTAAAATTTCAGTTTTATGAGATTTAGTTGACTTGTGAACTTCAAGGAATTAAGTTACAGCTGAATTGATACAAGGTTCAGAACAAAATTTGGTTACGGTATTCGATTCTTTACTAGAAGTATTAAGTTTGTTGAGAATGGCAACTAGCTAGACTTAGTTGGCTTATCGGTGAAGAATTAATTCAAGCAGATCAATCCTTTTTTAATACCCTGTTTAATTCACTTAGTTAAATATATCATTTCAAGTGAAAAACTGGGAATTTTAATCGTATTTTTACCATTTATATAAAGTCAAATTCAGTTCAACATCATCGTATAATGATGGATGATGATTGATCTCTCTCGCAAAAAAATGTTGGCATGAAAGAGTAACTTATGCGGGTTTAATTACTGAAAATGTGTATTAGAGATCCATGTCTAATATTAAATGCCATATATGCTTGTTTCATTAATATATGTGAATAAGATGGTTACGTCTTTACAAGATTCGACAATCGTTTACGCATGATACCAGACATAGATATCTTGCGTTTCAAGTATCATGGACACCCACAGCATGCATATACTGTCACATATAATGTATAAAAGGAATAATAAATTCGGCAGCAAACGCGAACTTAATTAGCAACCCTCCTTTCAATGTGGGTTTTGCTTTTCCGGAAGTAAATTAATGAAAGAGTGTCATGATTAAATTATATCACCTCACTAAAATAAATACAAATCATTTTATTTCTCATCATTCAGTTCATATGCTTGATTCATTTTTACTAACAATTGCCTAAAAGCTCAATACAAATATAAACTTCAACTTGTAAATCAAAAGGAAGCTTATAGATTGGTTAAAGTATTAAGACTTTTGAGATGATTTAAACTGTGTATGACATTAACCATTAATTTTCATTTATAGAAGATATGTATCTGTTTCTTGATTGCCATCAAAGATGGATGATTTCAGCAAAGAACATGGATCTAAATTACCACCTCTCCACCTTGTAAACATCAATGCAAAAGATACAAGCACAAAATTGATCTTCACACACCTACAACAAATCCCATTGGTCATTTTGCATTAAATTCTATTATATCGAACACAAAATTGACGACTCGTTACAAATGGATAACCAAATACCAGGAGAGTAAAGTGTGAAGTATATAAAACAATAAACTCATTCTGTTCTTGCATTTCTCCCACCTTTTGTACTAACTACCTCACACAATCGGCATGGCAATGTGTCAAGGCTCGCTGCACGGGCCTTTGCATAGTTACCTAATACACCACATCTTCTCCAGGCATGGTACTCTGCATAAGCTACAGGATCATTGGCAAGGGCTTTCACGTAGGAAGCCAATTCTTCCATGGAGCTAAACTTGGTTCCATCTATGCTTGAATGTGGAGGGACAAAGTCCAGCACATTGGGAGCTCCAAAATATATAGGTACTGCACCAGAGTCCAGAGTGTAATATAGCTTCTCGGTCACATAGCTCTCTGTAACGGTATTTTCAATTGCGAGGACGAATTTGTAATGAGACATAGCACAATGTAAATGGTCCCACCACTTTGGGTTATTGGGATCATTTGCACACTCAGGGTAGAAGGAAAGGGCCATGTCTAAACCACCAACATTGTGCCGGCATTTGCCAAAGGAGTGATGAGGCAGCAACTAGAGAAGACTCTTAGCAAGCTGGTTTCTTCGAGAAAGGCAACGTGATGAAGACCAATAAACAAGTGTATTCTAGAAATACATTTAAAGAAGAAGAAGAAAAAAACCCTAATGTGATTACAACCATGTATTTATCTAAGGGGATTATTGAGGTGAGGCATGAACGAAGAAATATAAGCCAGCTACTCACATTGTTATTTTCTGATGATATGTGATAATTTCAACCATTATGAAAGAGAGCACCAGCATAAGTTGACTGAACATCATCTTTTGCATGGTAACTGATGAATATATCCTCCCGACCTGAATGCTTCCTGCCAGCCTCAAGGTCCATGTACACACGAAGTGGATCTCCACTATGCCTCTAAACAAAAAGAAAAGAAGACTATTTCAATTGATGCTGGAAAATAATAATCAAGGTTGGATGTATAATTATCTTAACAAAAAGAAACAGGAAACCAAAACATCCATGCGAAGCTATTCTACTGGTTGATTATTGTAACAAGCCAAGGTGAACATCTTTCTAGTTCTGTTGACTAATATTTTTGCTGAGCAAGAGCACGAGCATGAAAAAGAGTAAGGCAAAACCAAGGACATCAATTATAGAGGATAAAGAACAATAAGTCAAAAGGACTTAACTGATGCTTGGCTGAAGAAAAACCAAGGTGAAAGATCACTTCTATCTCTCTTGCATCTTTTCATATGGTAAGGTCCTTCCAACAAAGGACCTCTGGTTTGTTACAATATTCAAGAAGATAATGAATAACATGAGACACTAGTTCAGCCTTTGGTAGGAGCAGAACTAGCTTTAATCGGCAGGAATTTCAAAAATGTGATGAATTATATCTTGTATGTTTTTAGATGTCCTCCCCTTCATCGAAAGGAATGCTTCTGACAATTGTTTTCTCTAACAAGATACCAAGAAGATTCTTTGGACAATATTTCTGTAGACTAATTATTTTGAATCAAAAGGGGGAAATAAACTACCATGGTCATGTAACGACCCAAATTTTGAGTCAATGTTGGCGCGTTAGCTCGAGCTTCGATAATCACGGATTATATGTTCGTTTGAGTTTGTGCACCAAGTATTGTACTTATTTGGTTATGGATTGGGTCAAAAGTGGAGCAAAAAGGAGATTTTTAAATAAAGGTGATAAGAGGAAAGACCTATAGTGTGATTAAACCATTTCTGCTTAAAGTGTGCAGAATTTTGTTGTCTTTTACTCCGGTTATTTGGGACAATGGCTGAATATATGTCATCATCCTCTCTAATTAATCTCCAGACCCTTTTTTCTCGTTCACCTTCATCTTCTCTCTTGAGTTTGAAGCCTTTCTAAAGTATATATCTTTTTAAAAGTAATTGCCCCTTCCATATCCACCAAGGTAATATTCTTCTTCCTCTTTCTGTGAGCTCCAAGATGAGCTGATTCCAGTTACTCAACGTTTGATGCCTATATGCAGCTTTTTCAAACAACTTGTAATTATGCAACTCTTTGATAACAACTATAACTTGTGCATATGCAACTATCCTTCGAACAACAACAATCATTTTGTGGATAACTCAACTTAGTGTGTGGTAATTTATTTTATCTGATATGTTAATGATTTGTCTAGCTTATGATTTATAATCTGATGCTATTAAGCTTATTTTCCATTATGTGTCTGCTAAAAGGTAATAACATAGCTTTGTGGTAAGAGTCTAAGGTATACTCCAATGTGCGTGTCAAGTCAATGTTATATGCCTTCAACACTTGTGCCATGTTTATGCTTAACTTGCCTGCATAACTCATTTCATGTTTGTATATGTTGAGTGGTGTGTATTATTGAGCTTTTTAAAGCAAGTGTTAAAATTATTACTCCTCATAGGTAGTTAAACTTTGATCATGTTCAAGTCAGGGCATCGACTTATTCAAGGGAGTTCCAATAGATTATATCTCTGAGTACTTATTTGCTTTAGTTGTGCATGTATTATTTGTATAACCCTTGCTTAGTGATTTGTGTTTGTAAACTCATTTGGTTTTTCTCATTAATTTTTGGAACTCTACTTTTGCAAACTATTTTAATTTGTATGTTTTATCAGTTATCATAAATTGTTTGATTTTGAGAAATTATTTTATTTGTGGGTCCCTCTTATGACCCGAATGTGACAATGTGCCCATTAGATATTTCAAGTCGAATTTGGGGTGTTACAATTTATGTGGCATACGAGATAATATAACTTTTTTTCCAAGACGCATTGTCTTGGTTACAAAGGTCTCAATGATCTACATGCTCCTTGAAGAACAAACTAATTACTAGAAAGATAATGCATCATAAAGGTTACATTATAGAATACAAGAATCTTATATAGTGAATTCCCTCAAAACGGATTCTTGCGAACATAATTCTCAACATTATAAGATTATGCATGGAATGTGCTAGAGAACCTTGTTTGGTTACTATCAACAGAGATGTTCTTAGGATGAGTTTCCATGGCTCTTATTCAAGATGCAACTGAGTTTACTAATAAAAGACATATTTTTGTCCCTTGCTTCTCTTTACAGACCTAACTCAAAACACCCTCTTAGCAACCAAAATTCAATGAAGCAAGATGATGGGGTCTCCTATATCATAAAAGAAAGATTCTCATATTAACAAATTAATTTGAACAATGTTTTGAACAATGTTCATGCATAATGATTTATCTATTGCTCAAATTAACAAATGGTTAAGCGAGAGAAGAGATCCTTGACACAACAAAAAGTAAAATCTCCTTGGTTAAATCGTTGCAATCTATCCAATTGGTTACCAAAGTTGGTCTTACTAACAAAATAAAATTCCCCCATGTTCCCAAACATCTTGTTCACAGCAGGCAACAGCTAATTACTAAAAGACTTTACTTCACTGATATTGTGATGAACTACACACAACATCTTCTTGTGATATGAATTCAAAGAATATCTCAGCTTTAAATCCACAAATCAAGTAGATCAGATGGAATCTTAACCAAATAGCCATTTCAACTCCATGACTTCAACTTTAATCAAGCAAATAAATCAGAATGTTTTATATTCCATTACTGCAACCAAGCCAAAGGCAAAAAATAAAATTATCTGCAATGGAGGGGTTGAGGTCTCGAACAAAAGGGCATAATATGACAAGAAAAAGAACAATCCCCAAGTTTCAAAAGGTACATAGAGCAGCAGCTAATGTCCCTTTGGATTGAACATAAATATCCCCATAAAACAGCAGTTACTATAACCCTAAGTGGGGTTATAGAGCAGTTACTATAACCTAAGGGTATGTTTAGTTAGGGGACGTAGATTCTATTTGTGAGATTCTCATAGAAATGGAATCCACATTTTCCCATTTGATTAATCGGAAATGTCATTTCCGGTAATCTTACATTATTAATAGTGAATTTTTTGGGGTATATTACCGGGAATGTCATTACCTTCATTTCCTTACGTATTGTTAGATTACCGGCGTTTTGGACTAAAATGCACTTAAAAAAATTTCTTTCAAAAATATCTTAATTCTGTCATTAAATAATAAAAATTCTACAAAAATTAAATTACAAATTTATCCTTAAACTATTTTAGATTTACAAAAAAAATCTATAATTAAAATTTTATATGAAATTCAAGGGTTAAAATAAAATTTTACCCTTTCATTAAGTATTTTTATATTTTTAATTTTGTAAAAAATTATATAAATTTTATGAATTTAAAATTTTTAAAGAAAATATATAATATTTTTCAACTTGTTAAAAAACAAATATATAATAAAGACAATTTGATCAAATATACATTCCAATAATTTTTTATTCTTTTAACCAAACACGGTAATCTTACATTCCTGCTAAACCAACCAAACAAAAAATACAACATTCCCAGTAATCCTATTCCCTGATAATCTTTTATTCCCACTGATAATCTTACATTCCGTTAACCAAATACACCCTAAGTTCATTTTCATGAAGTACCTATATCCAATACTCATGTCTGAAACATATTCAGATATGGGTACGAGGATATAACCTCCAAGCTCCTCCAAATACATTGAAAAGTTAGAAAAGATCAAACATACCCATCTCCAGCAGTTACTAGTATCCAACGCTCACACCGTAGCCCAAGTAACATGGCTACAAGTTGTTCTCGTAAGACCAAAATGTTCCGTGTTGTTGCAACCACTCAAAAGGTTTTGACCAGAAATAGCTTGTTCCTTGTAAAAAAATTGTCATCACATTGATCATAAAGACCTAAATTCTACATATAATACAATAAATAAAATGAAGAAACATGAATGTCTGATACCATTATCATTTACTGGCTATCAAACATCATATGTATCTAAAGTGATCATAAGTAGAGTGTAAAGTAACTTAAACCATGTATCATGCGATCTCCAAAACTATTTCCCCAGTTGGTTAACCAGAAAAAGAAAATGAGCGAGAGAATCAATAGGAATCTAAAAACTTTATTAATTAATAATCTATATGATCAAATGAACTGTAAACCATATAAGGGGAAAAGGAAATATGAAGATCAAAATAGACAGAGGCTTTAATGCGAGCAAACATTTGAATCATTCTCAGCTGAAGTCTTTCAATCTTTTTTTCAGCACGTCCATCGATTTCTTCCGTGAATTTGTTTTTGTATTTCTGGTTGAAAGGCTCCCAAAGATCCCATCTGCTGAGTCCTTGAATTTTTCGATGATGCTAGCCACTTTCTTATTATCCAAAGCATTGTAGGATTTCTCCCGTATTACAAGATTCGTGAAATTCTCCGGCTGGCTGCTGGACAAAAGGTTTATCAACTGCCGGGCTTCTATCAAGCAACTTCGAAAACTACCTTCCTTGTATATCTCACTCAGGCCAGTGCTGTCAAACCTCTCATCAGCAAAATTCTCTAACACCTGTAGATCATGGTTGATTACCATGACAGCATTGGCATTAAACCTCTTGACACTATCAGTGAGAAATGCAGCAACCATAGAATTGGAAATATGCTCAAGTGCCCCACAACCAACTCTGTACAATGCATCCAATGGCAGAATTTGCAGTGCTGTTGAGAAAACACTGTCAAGGTAAAAGACCACCTCATTCATATACTCACTGTTGTTTTGGGATATCTCTTCAGAAGTCCAGTTTATATTTTCCGTAAGTGCCAAGAATCATCCAACTTACTATTTACCAATTTCACGAGAGCCAGATAAGCTGCATCTCTTGAAGCTTTTAAGACTGCCTTGGCAGTCAAACTGGCCTGAGGCCTCTCAACTGATCGAACCGGAATCCCACAGAGTTGGGCAGCATGTTGAAGGAAAAAGTCACAAGCTCTTTCAAGAAATGTTATATTTGCAGCAATCTGCATGGCTTGAGATACAGCAATGCCATCACTCTGAACTGTAGTCAGTACAACTTCATTAAGCACATCAATCAAGAGCTTGTCCAAATACTTTCTTGCTGCATCATAAAAATTGGAATTAACTCCAAAAGACAAGTAATCAACCGAGCCTTTGATGAATGATCGCACAATGCAGCAGCAATCAGGCACCATTAAGGAAAATGGTGCAATATATGGAAATGCTGGCATTACATCTGAAGTCTGAAGACGAAATGCCAAAACATTACTCTCATAGTCAGAATCCTTCTTTATTACCATCTGCTTATAGGAATCATTAGAAATAACATTAACAATTTGCTGACGGCACTCTTCAAGAAGAAGCTCGTGGTATTTGTCTCGGCTATTATCCAAGGCCTCAAGAATTGAACCCACTTTATACCCATACTGCCTAAGAGTTGCCCCAAGAAGTGTAATATAATCCTTCACCAAGAGAAGATGTGTTGCAGAATCCATATGAGAATATTGTTCTTCCAAAACTGATGCCACTGTTGCAACAGTTGTATCCCACATTGTCTCAACTTGATCAGCAGACAACAAGCCTCCACAAGTCCTTAAGACCCTGTCTTCCACAATAAAGTAGCCTGCAATTTGAGCTAAGTAGGTTTGATATGATTCAACAAATGGTATTGAGGAAGATATTTGCAAGTCTGAATTGAGTTGTAATAAACGATTTTTGTAATAATATTCACGAAATTGCTCTTGGGTTCCAAGGCAGGAATGGATGTGATATGCTCGATAGAGAGGAGTAAGATCAAACTTCAAAACAGAATCTTCATCAAGCTCTTCAACATCTAATGAATAAGCCGTATCTCCTAAGCCAGAAATGTTCAGTTCCTCGGCTTTTCTTTGTCGTTCAAGCATTTCCTCGTCTCTCTGGCGTAGTGATGCAGCATGACCTATTGCTGTCTGTCCAATATCCTTGGCAGACCTCCTAATGTGAGCTAGCCATTCATTAAAGTCTGCAGTCACTTTCTTTTCAATATGTGCTTTTATTATAGGAATATTCTTCCGAATCATTATTTTGATTGCATTTACAGGAATATTCTGCAAGTAGTTTGTCTCAATCAAATCCACAGTCTTCAATGCCAGGAAAAACTGGCCTGCTGAAAGGTAAGTATTGCATTTGACACAGAGCTCCAAGACCTCAATACAAATCTTGGATTTCTTAATAGCTTCAGTAACATTTTTCTTAATTGAAAAAGATTCCAGAAGCTCTTCAAGTTTCTCCAAAATAGCACCCCCGACCTCCTGCAACTTAAAATTATCACTAGAAAGATCACTTTTAAGCTCTTCGGCATCAACCAAGACACCCCGCAGCTCATCAACGGCGAGAATGAAGTCCTCATAGTGAGTCTTGCAGAGCTCCTCAATTTCAACTTCTTTCTTTTTCACAACATGCTTCAGCTGGTGAACAAGCGCCTCAGGCCGCCCCATTTCAAAGGCCCGTCGAACAAGAGGACCCAAATCATCCCCATTCCCAATCATAGTGGCAACTACCGAGTCTTCCCCTGCATCCCCATTCCCCATAGCACCTCTCCTCTTGGGTTTCGATTCCATCGTTCAATAAACAATCCAAACAAACACTACAAACAAAAATATTCCCAAAAAATGCAAAAAGACAAGCCAAACCCAAACACAATCAGAAAGCATAAAAGGTTTACATAGAGTAGATAATAAATTCTATGCTTTTATGACCAGAAAATAACAAAAACAACATAAATTCGAAAGTTAATGCAGGGTTTAAGGAACATAGGCAAAGGCACAAAACAATGAACTAGAGCTGTAACTAAAGAAACTAAATACCCTAATTATGCAAAAGAAAAAGTGTTACTCGTACCTGAAAAAGAAGGGGAAGAGTGCTGGATCCCAGTTTGGTGAAGTTAAGAAATTTGGTGGGTTGAAAGTTGAAAGGTAAAGGTGGGGTTTTTCGCTTTTCTTGCAAGCTTCGTCGGATTAAGAAAAGCGCTACAGATACCAGATGGAAAAGGAAAATCGTCGTCTCCTTTTCTGTCGCTTTCTTTTCCTTGTTTTATCTTTGGTTGGATAAAATTGGAAATTTTGAAATGGGGGATGGGTTTAATATTGGGTTATTGACCACTAAATTATTTTTATCATTAATATTTTAATTTTATCAATTAAATCATTTAACTGTTTAATTGTGTTTAATTAAACCACTAATTGTTAATGAATAATGACAATTAAAAAAATTAACATAATTATACATTTAGCTTTTAATGTTAATATATTCTATCAATTTAGTTCTAATTTTAATAAATTAAGTAAATTTTTTTCCAATCAAATGATCATACTTATCACCATTTGATTGGAAAAAAAAAAACTAAATTGCAAAGAAGGAATTTTAGAGAGGTTGTGATAAATTGAACCTAGATAGCAAGGAAGGAAGAAGCACGCCAATACCACTAGGCTCTCTTCACCATTTGTGTTAAATAATACATAATAAAATATATATTGATATATAGTTAATGTCACCTCAAAATGTAAATTTAATATATATATAAACTAAATTTGATTTTTTTACCTTTATAATTTAATGATTATATATGATTTTAAATTGAGTATTTTTAATTTAATTAATATTTTTATTGTTTATTAAATACAAAATGTATAAAAATATAAATGAATCAATTTATATTCAAAATGTGGTAATCATTTATGTTTTTTTATATTTTATTATTTTGTATAAATTAATATTAAAAATATATTAATATTTTAACAAAAATATTTAAATATATGGATAAAAATATATTTATATAAATATATATTTGTATTTAAATGTATATTTATTTATATATTTTAATATTTTTTAAAAATATTTTTTATTCATATATTTAAATGAATTTAAATAAAAATATATATTTATATGAATATATTTTTATTCATATATTTAAATCTTTTTTAAAATATAAATATATTTTAAATATTATGTTATACAATAAAATAAATTATACAAAAAATATTAAAGATTCGTATATTTATATTTAAATTAAATCATTTATAATTTTATGCATTTTATATTTAATAAACAATAAAATTATTAATTAAAATTAAAATTACTAATTTAAAATCATATATATAATCATTAAATTATAAATGTAAAAAGAAAAATGAAATATCAAATTTAGTTTAAAAATATACATATTTTAAATTTACAGTTTGAGGTGGCATTAATTATAGTATCAATATATATTTTATTGAGTTTTTTTTACACAAATAGTTAAGATAGTCCAGTGGTATTAGCGTGCTTCATCCATACGATTGAATCCTCATAGCCCCACTAAAATTCTTTTTTTTTTTTGTGTAATTTAATTTTCTTCCAATCAAATGGTGACACATGTCATCATACGATGGGATAGAATATTTATTTAATTAATTAAATCATGATCATGTATTGACACATGTCAGTTATAGATTAAATGATTAATTTATTAAATTAAATTTAAACTAATACTAAATTGATAGAATATTTAAACACTAAAGACTAAATGTATAATTATGATAATTTTTTTAACTGTTACGTTAGCATTTCCATTAATCATTAACAACTAATGGCTTAATTGAATTATCTGTCCAGCTCAGTTGGTAGAGCGCAAGGCTCTTAACCTTGTAGTCGTGGGATCGAGTCTCACGGTGGGCAATTCATAATTGTCGGAGGTCTTCCACGGAAGTTGCTCTCAACCTAGCGTTGGGAGCCATCCTACTACCTTACCTCCCCCTTACCCCATTACATATGGGAATATAGTCAACTAATTTTTAACTAATGTCTTAATTGAACACAATTTAATAGTTAAGTGGTTTGATTGACAAGATTACAATATCAATGGTAAAAGTAACAAGATTAAATAATTTAGTGGTCAATGGTATTGTTTACCCTTTAATATTTCTATATTTTTTATAAATATGAGCCCATTTTAATTTTTTCTTCATAATTATAATTCAATATAAATTTATATTTTTTATACAAATATAAATTTACTATTTGAAAATATATTATAAATTAATCCAATGACATCCAATTAATCATAACTTTGTGTTGTATATACCATAATGTTAAATTAGTATGAAATGAGGATTAATTCCATTTGAGCTCGAATTCAATGAGAAATCGGTTAAATGATTCAAATATCATTTTCAAATATCAAAATAACATATATTCTCGATAAGGTAAATTATATTAATGATTATTGAAGTTTTAAGATGTTTTCATTTTATTTATTCAACTTTAAAATTTATTTTATAATTATTATATTTTAATTTGTTTACATTATAGTCATTATCATTAATTGTCGTTAAGAAATATCAACGTGACACATTAAAAAAGTTTTCCTAAAAAATGGTTTTAAGTTTACGATCATCGTCAATATCAAATTTTCAATGAACGAAATGATCGTCGATAAAAGCTTAATTGTGTGAAAGATCCATTTGACCAAAAGATTAATATAGTTTGATTTTCAATATGATCCAACAAGTTGATAGTGACAAATCAAAAGATTTTAACTTTTAATTTCAATTAAGATTTACTTAGATCCGTAGAGATTGAAAAAAATTTAGACGTGTTTGATCCAAAGGAAATAAAATGGTGAAAAGAAGATAAGTAGTTTCGTGATTATTTTACCATATAAGTTACAAACAACAATGGAAACGATAATAAAATGAGACAACAATCTAATTGAAACTAAAAGCTAAAACTTTTTGATATACTATTGTTAATTATCAATTCAATTTGAAATTGAGTTGTGTAACTTGTGTTAATATGTTGGAAAAACAAAGTCTTCCCATTGTTGAAATTGATAGATGATTGCTCCGTTCATCGAAAACTTATTTTTTTATTATGTCTGTCAATTTAGAAAATTATAGATGTTTGGGGAAGAAAACTCCACATCAACATTTTGTAAATGGCAATGACAGTAATAAAATCGAATTAAAAGTTTGATGATTATAATATAAATTTTAAAAAATCGATGATCAAAATGAAAATATCCTTAAATAACACCATTTTAATCGTAACCCGCCATTGTAATAATCGATTAATGTAAGTTTAAGATAATTAATGACCATAATTCAATATGTCTATATTATCACAAATTCACATTCTTCTAATTATCTTAATTAATCAAATTTCAACTATAATTAAATTTAAAACCAAACTGGAAAATTCACAATCTTCTAATGATCTTAATTAATCAATTAGTCCATATTGGACCCTCACGGTTTAGGATTTGATTAATTAGTTAACCACTAACCCAAAATGCGAACCTGTTTATTGGGTTGGACTTAATACAATATTTGGTCTAACAACATGTAGTTGTTGTGTTATGCTCATATCTTACAACCCACATTATTTTAATGGACTGTGTTCGTTTATCTGAAAGTTATATTTCTAATTCCAGCCATATTGGTTTTCTTTTTGGACTTGTATATTAAATAATAAATTGGGTAAAGTACATAAATAACCCCCCAGCTATAAGGTATTGCTTTATTAAATCTCTTAACTATTAAAAGTTACAAAATGATCTTTTGGCTATGGAATGTTGCTTTTTTAAGCCCCTCAACTATTAGAAGTTATAAAATGATCACCAAACTATTCACTTATGTTACAAACTCGTCATTTTTCATTAAAAAAATTGTGATTGTCTAAGCTGGACGCAAGGGCGGATGCACCAAACTCCCACAGGGGCCAAGTGCATCCCCATTATTTTGGGAAAATTGTTAAATTTAGCTTAATGTGTTAAGAAAAAAAATAAGAAAAATGCATACACGTTGTTTTTAAGAAAAGAAAATTAAAATTTTGGGCTCCCATGCTTAAATTTCTGGATCTGCCACTGGCTGGACGTTAACATGACGAATGAGATATAATATTTGTTTGAGATTCTGAATCAAATTTTATCACATCACAATTAGTAGGTTGACCTTAAGCTCATAATATTGTCATCTTTTAACGGAAATGGACAAGCTTGGTACATAATAAATAGTCAGGTGGCTATTTTATAACTTTTAATTGTCAAGTGACTCAATAAAGTAACATTATATAATCGGATGACCATTTTACAGCTTTTAATAGTCGGAGGACTTAATAAAGCATTATCTTATTGATAAATGCTTAATTTAGTTAATATTTTACTTTTAAATTACTCTTCAATCATTGGTTTTCGTGGCTTATTTGTTCGTTTTAATTCATTTTCTGTATAGGACATCATATTCTGGAAATTGTACTAAAAGAAAAGAATTCTACAGTTTTTTTCGGAATCGAAGCTGGATTAGTAGGCATTAAACATCCGACGATATGATGACGTCAGCACCTTCTATAAGATCCAGTCAGCGTTTCTAGAAGCACGAATGGATTGGCCGCACGTTTCTGGAATACAGATTTGGATTAATCTCAAGTTTTAGGATAATATTTTAAACATTATATTTTATTTCTGTTTTAGATATTTTAGTTTAAATAGATGTTAGTATTTCAATCAAGATTTAGGATATTATTTTAAATAGTATTTTATTTTATATTTGTTTTAGGTATTTTAGTTTAAATAGTTTTAAGTATTTTAATTAGGATTTAAGATGTTATTTTAGGAATTATCTTTAGCTTGTTTTTAGGAATTTAAAGGCTATAAATACCCTCTCAGGGTAAGCCTAGAAACATATCTCTATCATCTAAGAATTAAATATTTTCTCTCTATTTTTTGTATACTTCTTTTATTTTCCTTTAAATTTTGTTTTCATATATGCTAAGTATGATTGTGGTCTTGCTTAGCTAATTTTCTTTTAAGCCGAAGGCTCAATTCCAAACATGAGAATTGTAAGACACTTAAATCGATTAAGATTTTTCTCTCTGTTTTCTGAGCTTACTTTTCAAATCAAAACGATTTTCCAAACCTAAAGTTGACTTTGGTCTGGATGTTGTTATGGTTAACGTTAGAAGAAGGATTGACTTATTAAAGCACATTCAACTTTCCGAGAACACGCTTAG